ATCTGGACGAGCTGGCCCAGCAGCTCCATCTCGCAGATCGCTCCCACCACCTCGAGCTCCTCCTCGGCCAGGTCCTCCGGCGCGGGCGGCTTCCACCGCTTGCGCTTCCTCTGCATGGCAATCTCCTCCGCTGCAACCGCCTCCAACTGAGCCTCCGAGTCGATCTCACGCAGCTCCCCGCGCTGAAGCTCGTAGCGCGAGGAGAAGGCGGTGCGTTTGACTGGCGGCCCGACAGTCGGCTCCGCTGGAGGCGGCGGCAGCTCCACCGCCATCGCTGCCGCCTTTGCCGCGGAGGGCAGGAAGTCGGCGATCGGAGCCGCCTCGGGCACCACGCAGCCGCACACGCAGCGGTCGTCCGAGAGGCCGCAGATGCACACAGGGCCATCGCAAACCGTCATGCTGGACCCCGTCTAGCCACTAGGCGAGAGTGGCGGTCAAAAACAGAGAAAAACTTCTCGAAGTGCAGGGACACACGATTCCAGAAATGGTTGTGTCCCCGCTCCTCGCTCGCCCGGGCGGAGGGCATGGCCGCGGAGGAGGCGAGTACACGCTTGCCAGGCCTTCCTCCGACAGCCTCTTGGGCAGACTGAGGGTCGGCTTTGCGTGGCGTGGCCCGTACGCTGCGCTGCGCAAAGCTGCGTGTGCTGAAGGTGCATCTGGTGCTTCCTTTCGGAAGTGCGCACCTCCTGCAGCTGGTGGAAGGCCGTGCCGCCGCTCGCCTGCTCCGTGGACAGGGCGGGGAGGCGGCGCCGCAGCGCCGCAGCATCCGCTGCACGCCGGTGCAGCACTCTGCTGCCTGGTGGGCAGCATGCTGGTGCTGTGCGCGGTGTTTGCGAGGCGGCTTTGGCGTTGTACTGCCAGCCGAGGCGAGTGGCGCGAGGCACGCGCGGCGCCGCGCGTGGCCCGGACGGAGCCAGGGAGCGCGCTCGATGAGCCAGCCGGCGCGGCGCGAGCGCCGTGCAAGCTGGCACATCGTCTGCATGCTGCCGTCAATTCTCTGGTCGACGGCGGTCAATCTCGCGATTGTCGATCAAAACCGGCGGGCTTTGTGACGCCGTTTACGCAATCGTTTTTTGGATTAGCTTTCTCTTTTGCTTGTTTGTATTTTGTTTTCT